TTTTTGACAGGAAGCAAATTTATTGTTCATTATTGTTTATTATGAGGGGGCAGCACAGTGGAAGCCCTCATGAGTGCAGGGCCCGCCACTTGTCCAGAGGGCCATGACTGGGGATGTACTTAACCCCATAGCCATCTGGGATGAGCCACTTCTCAGCCACCATGTCTTCAGATTCATCGGCATTGAACTTGGTGAAGCCCCACTTCTTTGAGATGTGGATCTTCTGGTGGCCAGGAAACTTGAACTTGGCCTGGTGCAGGGCCTCCATCACATGCTCCTTGTTCTGCAGCTTGGTGCAGATGGACATGATCACTTGGCCAGTGTGAACCCTGGCCACAGTGTCCTGGGGCTTTCCAAAGGCACCTGGCGTGCCTGTTTGGAGCCTACTTTGGGGTAGTGCAAGGTCAGAGACATGAACCCACATCCAAGGCCTATCTCCAAGGTCCCTTAGAGCAACCCATACAAGAAACAGGCTGCATACACTACCAAGGAAGCTGCTGTTTGCAGCCATTGCACACTGGGGCCCCATGAGGAAAGGAACCCAGTCGGCTTAATTGGCTGCAGAGGAAGTTTCTTAATGAAAAGTCTTATTTATCTCCGGAAGCAGTAAAATAGCCCATGGAGAAGAGGTCTCTAAACCACATCAGAGAGTGGAAGAACACAGTGCAGAACAAAGAAGTGAACATTAAAGATCATTCTGAAGTCCTCACCATGAAGCAGGGATTGGGCGGCCCCACTGTGGGAGAGCAGATGACCTGTAGGGCAGGAAAGAGCCCGTCATTGGATCTCTGCAAAGACCTGGCTGTTAACCACAGTGCCCATAAGGGCCTTCACAGCCAGGCTGGGTGTGGGTCTTAGGGAGATCTCATTCAGTCGAGGAGTCAGTTGGCAGGTGCTGAGCAGCCAGCGGGCAGCTCACAGGTGTGGGTCACGGAGGGTGGGGGCACCTTGCCCAGCATGTCACTGGAAAGCCTGATGTTGTGAGGACAGGGGCTGGGTAGGCTGACCCCACACTGGCAGCACCTGTCAGGTGGTGCCAGGGCGGAAAGGGACGCTACAGCACATGGAAGAGGCCCTCCAGCAGGGTGGGCAGGGTGCTGGGGTTGGTTTGGCTGAGAAGTCCCTTAGTGTCTCAGTGTCCTCTTCTCCACGGCCCCATCAGGTACTCACTACGGGAGCATATCTTAGCTTTTCCTCTTCTATTGCAGTTTACAGTAATCTCCATAAAAACATCCTATTGCTTAGGTCTTTATTACCTTGAAATGTGTATCTTACCTCATTAAAAGGCTTTAGTTTGTTTTATTGCCAAATTAAATTAGGCAATAATTTAATTATCAGGACTCTTCACAACAGCTATTTGTCACTGCAGGGAGAACTTCATTCCAGGCTTCAAAGGCATGAGTTGTCATTGCCTACCCACTGAACAGCACTAATGATGGGTTGGTATGTAAATTATCCTTCTCTACATATCCTTTCTTTTTAATACAAACATTTTACTGTCTTTTCTAATAAGTGCAGAAGTAGAGGGATGAGTTGCCAAATCTCAGCCTCCCCACTTGCCAGTGTTCTGCTGCCCTTGCTTGATACACACCCACCCTCACATTTTTACCTTATAGTATTTTTAAAGCAGTTCCCAGATATTTTCTCACTCCATCGTAGACACTTTGGCATGTCATCTTAAACAGATAAGCCTTTAAAAAAGACATAAGCACATTTAAAAAAGACATAACATTATGACACCACACAAAATTAGCAAAACTTCTTTATTATCATCTGACACCCAGTCTGTATTCAGTTTTCCCCAGGTGTCTAAAAAATGTCATTCTATTGTTGGGTTTGTCTGCATCTGGATCTAAACAGAGTTCACACATTCCATTTATTTGAGGTATTTCTGAAGTTTCTTTGATTCTTAAACTGTTCTCTTTTCATCTGTTTGGACTTTTTTTTCTTTTCTTTTTTTTTTTTTGCAACAGAGTTGTCAAAGAAACTGGGTCATTTGTCCAGCAGAATATCACACGGTTTAGACTTGCCTGATGGTAGCCTCACAGTGTTACATACATGGTTCTCTGTCCCCTATGTTGCCTGTGAACTTGTGGTTTGGTCTAGAGACTTCATTTGATTTTCTTTCTGGTGCAGTTACCTCATAGCTGTTACTGTTGCATCACATCAGGAGGTGTAAATGCCCAGCTGTTCTACTTTGGGTTACAATATTGATTAATAGGCCTGCATAGTACCCACTCAATCTGTCCGTGATACAGTTCTGCATCTACTTTTCCTGGTTTTAGCAGCCACTGACTCAGCCCCATTGTGGAGGCCAAAGGCATTTCTTGGGATACCTCTTTTTCAGGAGCAGCCAACTTGGGTAGCTAACAGTCATGCCTGCGGTTTAGAGTTGGCCTTGCCTGGGGTCTTGGCAATTGGTCGTCTATTGATGCTGTCATCTCAGGATGTAGAGTTATTGGTTGCATGTAAGCAACAAAATCCCTTTGGAATTTCACATTTTACCATTCTGTTTTTTTTAAGTTGATGAACTTCACATTTTTATTACTTGATCCTTTCCTCACTGGATTCTTGATTCTGTGGAAGTTTATAAACATTTCCTTGTTATTGGTTTGAGAATTGAAATTGTTATAAGGCTGGCATTTCAAATATTCCCAATAGGTTCTGGCATTTAATACATAAGATAATGCCTGCCATCATGTCAGAGATGTCTAAATTCCACTTCTCAGTTTTAGAAAATACTATTTGTTTGATATTGGGACATTGGTTTGGCTGCTAAAACAGGTCATAACGTTAGTGGTTTAAATTCGACAGCAGGTCATTTCTCTCTTGGACAATCATGAGTTGGTAGGCAGTTTGGGGGTCAGGGCAGCTAGTTCCCCAAGGTCACTCGGTGACTCCAGCTCCTCCCATCCAGTCGCCCAGCCTGCGGCATTAACCTCATCCACATGGCTGAGAAGCTGGCTCACCACCACAAAAAAGTCCAGGCAGTGGCTCAGGAAGGAACAAGGGAGGCCAGCGGCTCCTTTTAAGAGCGGAGCCTGAACAAGGCATGTATCCCTTCCATAATTTGGTCATGTGGTTCATACCTAGTGGTAAGTTAGACTGGAAAATTTAGTCTAGCTGGGCAGCCATGTGCCCTTGTAAAACCATTAGTGTTCTGTTACTGAAAGGGGGAAGACAAGGAGGGTTTTATTAAAGGTCAATTAGTAGTTTTTAGTAAGCTCTCTAAGCCTCCGTTTTCCCATCTATAAAATGGGGATGAAAATATCCCCCTCTTGTGGCTGTTAGAATTAAGAGTATGAATAGATCAATGTAATGGAGCATCCTTCCTATTTCAGGCTCTCAGTAAATTATTCCATTTATAGGCACGGGGAGGGGGCAGTGTGGCTTCATATAACAGAAAGAGGCCAAGTTTTGGATTCATGGTAGACTTGGGTCTGAATTGTTAGTTGTGTGACTGAGGACACATGTACCTAACCTCTCTGACACTTTAACAAATGAGGATTAAACTTATAGGAGTATCATAAGAATTGAATGAAAAATTACATAAAAATATGTAGTGCAATGCCTGACATGTAGAAGATTTGTATAAGTGTTGGCTAATTGCTGAGTAATCTGGGTAAAAATTTTTAGGTTCCTGATGGGGAAAGATTACTATGTAAAGTTGATTGTAAGAAGACTGCTGCCAAGCAGTTTAAACTAATCATGCACAATCATCAAAATGTATATTTTCAGTTTGAATATTTGGAGCTTAAATGTAAGCCAGTGCTTTCTAAAGAGATCTCTCAGAGGTACAGGTACCAGAATCATCAAAGGTGCTCAGTACAAATGCAGGTCCTTGCCCCTTCTCCCTGGACCCTCTGCCGGGCTCCTGGATATCTTTGGGAATGGGTGAACCTCCACCTTTTTACAAACACTTCTGAGGTGATCTTTATTACTCTGAAGTTTGAAGTTCCAATTAGAATCCACAGCACTTACTTGAAGTATTTGACCACTTGTACAGTACTTTGAAATAAGGAAGGATAATTCATTTTTTCTAATTTCAGATAAAAAAAGACTAGGACTTTGAGGTTTTATTGGGTTTTTTGAGACAGGGTCTTGCTTTGTCACCCTAGTTAGAGTGCAGTGGCTGATCCTGACTCACTGCAGCCTCAGGCTGCCGGGCTCCAGCAATCCTACCACCTGAGCCTCCCAAGTATCTGGGACTATAGGTGCACGCCACCACACCCAGCTAATTTTTGTACAGACGGAGTCTTGCTGTGTTGCCCTGGCTGGTCTTAACCCCCTGGGCTCAAGTGATCCCCCCACCTTGGCCTCCCAAAGGGCGGAGGTTACAAGTGTTAGCCACCGTGCCCAGCAAGAAACTCTGGGTTTTTAAAGATGGACTTAGGGGTGAGATTTTTTTTTCCTCTCAAATGATTGCAGCTTGAAAAATAATAAATGTTTGCACTGAATTCTCTTTAGTTGTTGCGAAACCAGAGATTTCCTGCATCCTATCATCATGCAGTGGAGACCGTTGTGAATATGCTGATGCCACACATCACTCAGAAGTTTCGAGATAATCCAGAGGCGTCTAAGAACGCAAATCATAGCCTTGCTGTCTTCATCAAGGTGGGGACCTCCAGGGAAAGGATGTCAGTGAAGGGACAAAGACGTGCTTCTTACAAGCTGTCTAGCAGAGTGACTAGAATAGAGTGGGTTCTCTGGCAATGTGGATGGCATGTTTTTACGTCCACGGGTAAACTTATTAACAATAAATGCTGATTTGAGTTCAAATTTCCGAAACGTTTGAACCTGAGATACCTTTTTGCTTGTATTCCTCCACAGAGATGTTTCACCTTCATGGACAGGGGCTTTGTCTTCAAGCAGATCAACAACTACATTAGCTGCTTTGCTCCTGGAGACCCTAAGGTAGTGTGAGGGTTGTTACTCTTCCTTTTGTCTCTCTGATTCACATCAGAAATCCACCTGTTTCTCTTTCAGCCTCAGAGGCACAGCTCACTCCTATCTTGGAAACATTAGTATGTGTGCGATATCAGGAACATAGTAATCCAGAATGAGAAAGAAACGTACCCACTGATTTTCTCTTAAACACCTGAAATGACTTCTCAACCGCAAAACTAAAAGTATATGTGTAGCGAATTATAGTTTACTTCACAAGATAACAGGAGTCACTATGTAGCCTTTCTCTGGTAGAATTATCTTTTTCCCTTTTTTTTAAAGCTCTGCCTTACTAATTTTTTTATTGCACTGAGTCTGCGTCTGTAATTATAAGCTACCTGAAATCCTTCCTTGAAGAAGGAGGAGCGTAAATAATAAATGCCCTAAAAATCAGTTAAAGTCATTGTTTAATGAAATATGTCCTTAGTTTTCAAATCAATCCCTGCAGCCATCCTGAAATCTGTACAATGCAATAGAGTACAGAGTTCTAAGAAAGCTAGGAAGTTAATGACTATTTCTAGCATACTATTGCTAATAGGCTTTTTAGAATCCTATATAAAATATCCAGTGGGATATTTATGACTAAGCACTTCTTCCTGCAGACCCTCTTTGAATTCA